ATATATATATATATATATATATATATATATCCCAATGAACATTGGATTATAAACACCATTTAATGATTATATATCCCAATGAACATTGGATTATAAACACCATTTAATGAACATTGGATTACAAACACCATTTAGTTTTGGTTGCAGGTACGCTTGGGAGGCCCAGAAGTTGTGGACGGCCGGCTGCTAGCGGCACTACGGGTCCTCCTTGCGGATAATGCAGAGGATGTCAAACAAATCAACCAAACTGCCCTCCAATCTTTCTCATCTGACCCTCCTCTTGGTGTGTCCATTGAGATCAGTGCTCTTCGTACTGTGCTCGGATTGTGTGCCATCTCTCTCCAGCACTTCCCGACCATGATTGCTGAGGATGAGAAGGCATTGAAAAATGGAGAGAAGATATTCCCTGCCATGGAATCAGCTTTGCGCTTTCGAATGAGAAAGAAAACGTTGATAATCGATACCATGAGAGACATCACTCGGAGGCTCAATTCACTCTCAGAACAGAAAGTTACGATCTAGAAATCTGGCCATCTAGTAACTCAATTTTCTCTCATTTGGATCTATTATTCATTTAATGCTGTTTCTTGTTAATTATTTTACCTTATGATGGTAATATTTTTTCCGGTCTTGAATTTTTTACAGTGAAATGACATCATTTTCGCCAACATTTGTAGGTGTGCACTTTGATCATTTAAGGATTCAAGCTTATACAAACGGCACCCTTTGCATAATCCTGTTTTGGCTTCACCTTGATGTAATTGGATTTGTGATGGCCTGAGGACAAGGATTCCATCTGAAAAATGATTCAAACATTGCATTGCTTCCTTAATAGAACGTTTTATCTTATTCATGGTTTTAGTTTGAAAAGAATTTGGATAGCAGAGATCGAAAAAACAATAACAAAAAAAGGCCATGGGTTCCAGAAGGAGAAACACAGGCATGTATGCTGGGGGCTTAAATCATTGTTATCAGTTACAAAAGTACGCTTCATATACAAATATTGGCAGAACAAATGGCGAGTTTCATGGCTGTATCCTGCTGCCAGTGATTAGAGAGAGAGAGAGGAAAGTCTCATGGTTTTTAATTAGGAAAGAATTTGGGTAGCAAGGAGAGAAACAATAACAAGAAGAGGTTATTTGCCTTAAGAGAAAAACATGCATATATGTATGGGGTTTGAATCATCCTATCAGTGACAAAACTTCCCTTAATCTACAAATATGTACAGAATAATTAGCAAGTTACATGGCTATATCAGTGATTTGAGAGAGAGAGAGAGAGAGAGAGAGAGAGAGAGAGAGAGAGAGGACGGGAGTATAGTAATACTACACGTACGTACGAAAGGAAAACGGTAACGGTCCTAGACTAATAACTACGAACGTACCTTACCCCTA